TGGGCCTGCATTTTCCCCACCTGCGACTCCGGCTTCGCGGGCCGCTGTTGATGCGGTGATCCGCGGCCTTTCTGCATCGGATCTCCAGAATTCGTTTTGTGCCTTCTTCGAGACGGGGGCCCCCGAATCCAGCCCGACGGGTCGCGTCGCCCCCCCCCCCCCCCCCGGCTTCGTCAAGAGTTGCTCGTGCCCCGCGGGCTCCCCCGCGAGTGGCGCGAGAGTGGGGCTGCGCCGCGGCCGCAAAGACGCGATCGGTGGTCTCGAAGGAGACGACGCCAGCTCTTGGCCAACGCGTCTGTCGCGCATCTCCCCCGGCTCTCGCTCGCGCGGTCTGCGGCCGGCTGGCCCCGTGACCAGAGGCGATGGCAGCCGGCGCGCCGGCTCGACGACCAGCGCGCATTGTTGCCGCGCTGGGGAGTCAATGCCGCGACAGGGCCCGCGGGCGACTCGCGCGAGGCGGCGCTCGCGTCGCGGGGCCTTCCACCCCCGCCGCAGATCGCCTCGGCACCCCGCCCGGCGGCGCGACGATCGCGCCCCAGAGCCCGTCGTGCCGCCCGAGAGCGGCTTCGTATCCCGCGCGCTTTGCGTCGCTGATCTCAGGCCGAGCCGCCTCCAGGTCACTGGGCCGCGGTAGTAGCGTGTGTCTGGGGTGCGCGGCCTCTGCGGCTCGCGCGCCGCGAGAGCCTCTGGCGCCGCGCGGGTCCGCCGGCCCGCGCCGGGCTCGTCGGAGCGGGCAGGGGGGGCGACCGCAGGTTGAAGGTGATCGTCGACAGGCGTCGGCGCAACGCGCTCGAGAAGGGTCTCGGGGAGGTCCTCTGCGAGCATGCGTTTGCCGCGGGGCCCCCCAGCAGCCGATGCGCCTGCTGGCTCGAGTGCGTCGCCAACCTTCCCCATGCCTCGCAACGCGCTGAGCTGCCCCCCGCGAGGGGCCGGCGTTTGCCGATCTCCGCGGGCGGCGCTAAGGACCCATTGGCTGACGCCGCGCCGTCGACCGCTTGGGGCGGCAGTAAAAGCAGAAAGCGGAGTGCGTGGAACGCGCGCGATTTCTGCGGAATCTGTGGGTTTCTCCACAGACGACGCAACTTCCTGCAGTGGCTGGGCGCCCGGGCGCAGGAGACTGTCCTTGGCTTTGATTTCCGAGCCAGTGAGCTGCTGGAGAATAGGGTCTCTCACGAGGCAGAGATGCGCCGGCGAGGCCGCGACGGGGTCGCGCTGGCTCCAGCGGCTCCAGCCACGGGGCCAAAAGGCTTCGGAAGCGGCCCAGATCGCGCGCAAGCGTTGCCTGCGATCCGCAGGGCGTCTTCGCGACGGGGGGGCGACTCGCCCGTGGTCGACCCATCCCCTCTGACCGAGTTGCGGACGGCGCCTGCTCCGACAACCGCGTGGCCATCGGGCTCCGCGATGGCCCTGGCGCTCACGGCCGCGCCCATCTGGGGCACCAGGCATAAAGGCGGGCGAGAGTCAGGAGGCAGGAGGGAAACATAACCCTAGATCAGCTGCGCGCGGTCGTCTGGCGAGGGAAATCCCTGTGCATCGTCTTTGTCGGCGCCGCTTCGGTCGCAGTCATGAAGAGGCTGGTCGGCCGGATGTTGGATTCACCATATGATGTTTCGCCTGGCCGCCGTGAGTCTCGTGGACAAGCTCCACGCGTGGCTGCGCGCGCCTGGCGCAGGCCCCGCAGCGCGGCGCCGGCTACCGAATGCGGCAGTCGACGGGCTGATCGGATTGGCCCTGCTGTTCCACTTGGTCAGAAGCCCGCGCGACTCCGCGGTGGCGGTGCAGATTTCGACCTCGGACGCCGCCCCCCTCGTCGGGGGAGCCGCGGCGGCCCCGCTCAACGTCGAGGAGGCGGCCTGGCTTTGGGTTCGAGCTCCTCGGCGCACAGGCGCGGTGAGGCTCGAGCCATTTGGGCCCCCAGGCCCCGACCGGCCTCTCGAGGTCCTGGGGGCGGGTCCGCGATGGCCCCCTGCTTCGCTCCTGGATAGAGCCCAAGTAGTTCACCGCCCCGCTGCGCCACGGCTTCTCGGGGCGACGCCATATCCATGCACATGAGGCCGTCGCCGTTGCGTCGCTGGCCAAGCGCGTTGTCGAGGGCCTAGGCGCGCATGGCAAGCGCATCCCATTACTCGTAGAGTCACAGGTTATGCATCGCGTCGCTGTCCGAGGACGATCGCCCAGCGGGGTCCTCAACTCGGTCTTCCCTTTAACTCTCCTGTTTGTGCTGTTCGCATGGCGCTCCCTCTCTCTATTCGCGCGCAGCGCCCGCGGCCCTGCAGATGGCCCAGCGAGAGGCGCCGCGAGGAGCGAGGCCAGACCGCGTCCGCCCGAGATAGTGGAATCCATTGCCGTCATCAGGAAGCTCCGCGTCTGGGCCGCGCGCGTGCGTCGCTCGGTTTTTGGCGGTTGCCCCCTCGTCTTCTACGACGCTGTCAGCAGACCGAATGCCCCCCCCTTTGCGCGGCCCTGGAGCGCCGCGATTGGATCGTCATCTGCGCCCGCGGAACCTTCTCGCGATTTATGAACTCGCGCTCGTGGTCCTCTCGGACTCGCCAGCGGCCATGGGGGCCGCGGCGACGCCCTGGAGATATCTCGGGCAAGGGGCGCGTGGAGGCCGGGCCGGAACTCGCGAGGGCCCTCGGCCGCATCGGCGCCCTGCGGGCGTGGGGGCAGCCTCAGCGATCTATTCGGTGGGCGCTTCTGGAGCTCCAGGGGGCCTTCAGCGCGGGGCCGCTTTGCGAGTCCGTCATGGATTGGCGCGTGTGGGGCCAGGCACTGGCGAAAGACCACAACCTGGAAAAGGCGGTGGACGTTCCTGCCGCTGCTGGCGATTCGGCGCGACCGCCGCCATCCGCGCCTCGACCTGGAGGGCGGCGTGAAATGCGACGGCGGCGCCCGGCGGCGACTGACGGAGGCGGCGGCGGAGTATTCAGCGAGTGGTGCGATGCGGTGCCCAAGCAGCTTGACATGTGTTTCCGCTCGCCGCGCTGCTGACGCTACTGGGGATATTCTGCAGCTGGCTGGCTTCTTTCTGGAAAAAGCCCCGCGCGCCACGGTGCGTTCTCGCGACGGGCGAGCTCGCGGGCCGGGCGGGGCCTCCGAGTAATTGCCTGGCCGGCGATTGCCCGTCGGCGCATCGTCATGCTCGAGGAGAGAGGCCCGCGGCTCCAGAGTCGCGGGCCGCCCCGCCCCGACGACGTCGCGCGTGACGTCGAACTGATCAACGCACCCTCGTCGCCTACATCCAGCATCTCTACGACGCGAAGGCGCCATATCCTCGGGGATCCAAAACCTTTTTTGGCGTCTAGTTTCGCTCCCCCCTGACCCGCGGCCAACTGCGCCCAGCCTGGGCCGCGGTGGCGCGCGTGCGCAACATCCAACCGGTCGGGGTGCGCACGTTCATGCTTGTCGAAGTGCTCTTGGCCCTGGTTGGTCATGGTGTCGGAGCATCGCGCCGTGCCTCCGATGCATCGTCGAAGCGGCTACGCGTGGTGCCCGATGTTTCCTCCTTGCCGACGGGGCCGATGCATCGCCGACGCCGTCGAGTCCATCGCCGACCAATCGGCGGTGCGTCGGCGACGCAGCGCCATCCTCCTTTTATCGAGAGCAGAAGAATCTTGAGCTCGAATTACACAGTGAAGACGTGGCCTCACTTAAGTCCCCGTCTTTGTTTGCATCAGGGAGACTGGACCTGGGCGTTTTCTTTGTCCGCTACATATGCAGAGGTCGTTCCATACAGTGGGAACGTATGCCAAGAGACACCCCGTCTGCCTCCAGGATGCCCTGGGCTTGTTGACGGTTTCGCTATAGAAAGCCTGACGCTCCTACGGCAACAATCAGTGGACGCCCTGTGGTCTCAGGTTTGGTTTTTTTCGTGGAAGGCTTCATGCGGCCGAAACCGTATTCCAATACCACGATGAAGACGTAGCCTGAGTCATGTCCCCATCGTGGCAGCAGGGATCATCGATGTGGGTGGTCTGGTCTGATGCATTCGCCAAAACCGAACCCCTATCCGTAATGTCGTTGGCCCTCTTACTTTCCATCCCCTCCCAAAAGATTCGGTATATTTGTTTGTTCTTCATTTTGGGGTTCCCAGGTCCCGAGCTACTTTAGGCGCATTTTTACTTCAAGCGTTTTGCGGCCTTCCCCGCGCCTCACCCTAAGGCGTGCGCGTGCGGCTGGAGGGGAACTTGACGTGCGAGGGTGAAGTCGCAGAGAAGGGGATGGTTTGCTACGGTCGGGCAGCGGTATACGATCGAGGTATAAGATCGAGGCCGGCTCGGGGAGGGTACCCTCGTGCTCTTGGTGTTTTTATTGCGCGTTTTTGTGCATCCTGGGGGCAGGTCCCTTCGAAATGTTTTGCAGCTTGGCCGGCCGAAAGTGCTGTGCTCTTTGGGGATGCTCGTTTGTCCTAGGTCCGACTGTATTTTGGGGTTCCGAGGTCCCAGTGAACTTTATAGGCGCCTCCCTATACTTCAAGAGTCGCGCGGCTTGTCCCCGCGCCTCGCCCCGAGACGTGCGTACGCGACCGGAGGGAAGCTTGAAAGGCGAGGTTGGGGCTCAAGGGGCGGAGGTCCATGCAAACGGGGGTCAGCCAGAGCGGCGGATCGTGCAAGATCCCGCAGAACCAGTGGCGCGCTGGCCCGGGCTAGCGTGCAGGACCGTGCAGGATCTTGCGCAGCCTGTCTGACCAGGGTTTGGATTGACCCGGGTCGGTGCGTCCCAGACCCAGGCCCCCGACGTAATGATTTTTCCACAACATCGACCCCCAGAGGCCACGACCCATTCTACGGGACCGGCTTCGCACCTGGAGTCGTTTTCTGACGGTCCCAAGGCCTGGCGAGGGCCCCTCTGATGCCGAAGATGACAGAACACCTCGCGCCACGATTTTTTGGCACTGCTCGAGGGGGGTCTGGGGACGAGGATGGCGTCACGGAGCGGGGCGGCTTGCCAAGGGTCGGTTGGGCCGCGCCCGGCCCTGCGCGCGCGCGCGCTCGGGCGAGGAGCTGGGGGTGCTTTGGGGCGCGGCGGGCGCCTCCCCGGAGGCGGCCGCCTCGGCCGAGCAGGCCCTCGTCCGGGGGGCGTGCCCCCGCCTCCCGTGAGCGCCCTTCGCCTCGCCCGCTCCCGCGCTGCCTCGCGTCTTCTCCTCCGCCTCGCCCGCCCCAGTGGTCCCTCCGCCCCTTCCTCCCGAGCTGCTTCCTCCCCAGCTCTCCCTCTCTCTCTTCGTTTCTCCTCCTCCTCTCCCCTTCCTCCCCGATTCCTCCCTCCTCCCTTCCTCTCCCCTGTCGTCCTTTTCTCCCGTCCGTCCCTGTCAGGCATGGGATCCCCACCTGAGCGATGCTGGTTTCCTTTGCGGCCACGTCAGTCGAGACGCCGAAAGAAGGACCCCGCGTTGGGATCGGGAGGGGCTCGCTTTTCCTGAAGTCGTGCTTCTAGCCGTCCTCGTGCACGCAGGCGCCTCTGGGGTTAAAAAGGGGCCTCGTTCCTCATTCATCGTTATTTATTTCAGCAGCCCGACTGTACCCCTCGGCCCCCCTTCCCCCTCCGTCTTCCCTCCTCTCGTCCTTTTCTCTTCATTCTCTAAGTTGGGCGTGTCCCTCTACAGGAGAAAAATGCAAAGATTGTCAAACAATAGTTTTGGGACTATTTGAGAAACATTATTGTCTCATTGTTGCATAGTTCTGACGATTTCTAAGGTGTCGTCGAACATGGGCCTGTAGGGGGACAGGCCCGACCTAGCCCTTCTCTCTGTCAGCCATGGGGGTCCCATCTGAGTGATAGTTACCGTTTTCCATTTTGCGGCCAGACTAGCACTTCTTATCATTCCTATTGTTTGGGAGCCGCACGTTCTGGGAGCCGCTCTCTCTTTCTCTCTCTCTCTCTCTCTCTCTGCTTTACTGCTTTACTACTCCCCCTCGCCCTCCTCCTCCTCCATAATATCCCCTCGTCCCCCCCTCGTCATCTTCCCTCGTCCTCCTGCCCCGCTCATCACCGTTCCTCCTCCTCGCTTTCCCCTGCCAGTGCTCCCTCATCGACTCTCCTCCCTCCTCTCTTGTCCTTCAGCTTCCCATTTGTCGTGCAAGTGCAGATCAGCGAACGACGAGGCAGGCTTCGGGGGTCAGTCGATGTAACAGCTTCTTTTTTCTCCTCCCGCCTACCCCCCTTCATCCTCCCTCCCTTGTCCTCTATCCCTCCACCGCTTGTTCGCACATGTGTCTTCGCTTCCTTCTCCTCCCTCTCTTCACCGTTTGACCTCCTGCCCATATCCTCCGTCTTCCGTCATCGCTCCCCTATTCGTCGTCACAGTGATTCGTATTCCCTCCTTCTACCTCCTGCTGTGATCAAGGTGAGTTCTTTGTGGCACTTGGTCAAGTGGACAGTGGGCCTCTAACTACCACCCCCTACATTGCTTCTCACGACGTTGTCAACCCAGTGGATGGGGGGGAGGGGGAGGATGAGAGGAGGAGGATCAAGAGAGGAAAACAAACACAGACACAAGTAAAAGTAGATTCCCAGGAGCATGTTGGAAACATATGGGCAGTGAATGCGGAATACGAAAGTCCAGAACATCTAGGAACATATGGAGAATCCTTGGACTTGTGTCTATGTGTGCGTGTGTGTGGGTCCCTGGGCTTACTGGGTACCCGGGCCGCCCGTCCCCCGGCGCCCCGCAGGTCCCTTGAATCTCGGCGCCTCTTCTCGCTTCGCCTGCCGGGCACTTCCCAGCGCATGCCCCCCCCCCGCCCCTCTCCGGAGGTGGCCCTCTCTGCCGCCTGGCAGGCCGGCTCCACCTCGGCGCTCGGCCGTCCTGCTGTGCTGCCCAACCCCAGCACCGTTTGGGCCTTCCTCCTTTTCCTCCTCCTCCTCCTCCTTTTCCTCCTCCTCCTCCTCCTCCTCCTCCTCCTCCTCCTCCTCCTCCTCCTCCTCCGTCTCCTCCTCCTCCCCCTCCTCCTCCTCCTCCCCCCGCCTCGCGCGGCCGCCCCCGGCTGCTGCCCGTCCCCGGGCAGGCCCTGGGCTGCCTGCCACCCCGCCGCCCCGGCGCTCCTCCGCCGCGGCCGGGCCCAGCTCTGAGCGGGCCTATAGCTTCCGTCTCCCTCCCGCCCGCGCCGGGCCTTCCCCTCCTCCACACGCGCCTCGCGGCTTAGTCAGCATTTGTGTGCCCTACATGTGCAGCACCCGCTGGCGCAGTCCCTCTGCCGAGCCGCCGACGTCAAAAAAAGTGTCCCTGGGCTCCGCTGGAGGAGGAGGAGGAGGAGGAGGAGGAGGAGGAGGAGGAGGAGGAACAGGAAGAGGAGGGAGGTCTGGACCAGATTATGATCCACGGGACCTGGAGTGAAAGCAGGAGCAGCAGCAGCATGACGAGGATGATCAGATGGAGTTGGAGGAGGAGGAGGAGGAAGAAGAGGAAGAGGAAGAGGAGATGAGGATCGAAAAAAAACATGGCATACACAATATTTCGAAGCTCCGAGCTCAGTTCCCAGATCGGCGCCAGAGGTGCAGCGCTGATCCAGGAAAACCGCGCGGACCTCCAAAACTCTATGCAGTTTGTTGCACCTCTCGAGAAGGGGTAGGAGGAGCACCCTGCCTGTTGCTTCCGACTTGGCGAGGGCCACAGCGAGGCCTGAGCCCACGCCCTCCACCGCCTCCCTCCGCCGTCATCCCTCCCCCTCCCTCGCTCCCCATCGGTCGGTCGGTCGGTCGTGGCGCAAGACGGTCGAAGCGAACGCAGGAAAAGGACACGATAACAGGCAGGCAGAAGACTCGGCGACGAGGAAACCCCGAGTCCCCCGAATCCGCGAAGGCAAGCCCGCGCCCAAGCATCCCGGCCGAGACGGGGTGACGAAGGGGAGGAAGAAAGAGGAAAGGAAGGCAGGAGGTCGCATGGGGGGCGCAAGTGCACAGGACTCGCCATCCCTCAGCGAGCCTTCCCTCCTCCTTCTCCTCCTCCTCCTCCACCCCCTCCACTCCCTCCTCCTCCGTGTCCTCTTCCTCCTCCTCCTCTTCCTCCGCGTGACGGCGGCTACGCTCTCGACGCCTTCTGAAGAGCAGCCGCCTCCCTCCGCCGCGCCCGTAGTCTCGCCGCGGATCTTGGACGCCTTCATTCGTTGTCTCCCCTTCCTCCTCCTCCTCGAGCTGGAGAGGACCCCCAGAGGCCAAACAGTGTCAACAATTAGCCAATCGTTGGTGTTAGTTCTTCTCCAACGCATCCTGTGGTCTTGGGTCCTTGTTTTGAATCAGCAGCGCCCCGCGCCCTCCTGCTCCTCCTCTCCTCCCCTCTTCCCTCATCCCTCCTCTCATCCCTGCCTCGGCCCTCCGCATGTTAGTTTCGACACCCCCCCACTCCTTGCGTGGCCGCATAGGGAGTTCCACCGAAGGCCCCAGTACCAGCGCCCACATGGCGGCACCGCACCTGTGTTGGGCACACCGCACACACGTTCCGTGCCCCCACAGGGAGCTCAATCGAAGGTCCCACAGGCAGCACCCGCGTGAGGGGGCCCCGCCCATGTCAACACATCCCTCACACGTTTCGTGCACCCCTTGGCAGCTCCACCGAAGGCTCCAGTAGCAGCGCCCGCAGGGTGGCGCCTCACCAATTTGGGCACATCCTTCGCGGGCGGCGTGGCCACATGAGGAGCTCCACCGATGGCTCCAGTGCCATGGCAGCGCCCACATGGCGGGACCGACGCATGTTCGGCACACCCTTCACACGCTTCGTGGCCCCATATGGAGGTCCGTCCAAGGCCCCAGTGGCAGCGCCCGGACGGCGGCATTGCAACGTTGTCGGCCCCCTCACGCTTTCGTGTCTCCCCATCGGAGCTCCACCGAAGGCCCCAGTGCCAGCGCCCGCATGCGGACCCCCGCCCGATTGCTGGAACACCATTCACACGTTTCGTGCATCCTCCGAAGAAGGCCCCAGTGGCAGCGCCCACATGCGGACCCCCGCCCGTTTCGGCACATCCATCACACGCTTTGTGGCGCCAGGGAGCTCCACCGATGGCTTCCATGCCGGCGCCACCCCATTTCGGCACACCCCTCACAGGCCTCGTGGCCCCATGGTGAGGTCCACCGAAGACGACACGCACCATTGCGTTACTCGCAGCTGCAGCTGGTTGGCTCCCTCGCTGACTTTCTTGTTTGGTTGTGTGTTTGTGATGTTTGCAAATGGAGCCTCCACGAGGGAGTGGAGGAGGATTTCTTGATCACCGATTGGGCCGGAGGAGGACAGCGACGACGATGAGACAGCATGCTGCTAGCTGCCTGCATCTCCTTCCGAGCGGCACGCGCGGTGTTTCCGCTCAGCCTGCGACGTCTGGGTGTAGTCTGGCATTGCGCTTCTGGAGGAGGAGGAGGATACATACGTCGCCGCGCCGGTTGGTCCGACGCGCGGCCTTCGGTCGTGGGGAGGGCGTCGCTGCCACCAGGGCAAACGCCGCCTCGGGCGCCCTGAATTTGCCGCGGGGTTTGCCGCGTGGCGGCGTCGTCTGCCTGGGCGTGGGGGTCTTGCCGTGGGCTTGCCGTGCGCTTGCCGTGGTGTCGGCGTGGTCCACCTGGGCGCGTTCAGGACAATCGTCACGGCGACACATGCGCTTGCGCAGGCGGCTCGCGCCGCTGGCCAGGCCGCCCGTCTGAGGTTTCTGCTTCAAGCGGGCGGCTGCGGGTGGCCTGAGCTGTTGCCTCTCCTCTTTCCCCCTCCGTGCCATAGTGTTTCTTCGCGCTTGTGCACATGAAAAAAAGAAAGTGTGTGGACGAGGAGGGGGAGGGGGAGGGGGAGGAGGAGGAGGAGGAGGAGGAGGAGGAGAGGAGGAGGAGGAGGAGGAGGAGGAGAGGAGGATGAGGGAGGAGGAGGAGGAGGGGGAGGGGGAGAGGGGAGGGGAGGGGGAGGGGAGGAGAAGGAGGGGGAGGGGAGGAGGAGGAGGGGGAGGAGGAGGAGGAGGAGGAGGGAGGAGGAGGAGGAGGAGGAGGAGGAGGAGGAGGAGGAGGAGGAGGAGGGGAGGGAGAAACGGGGGGGGGAGGGGAGGGGGCGGAGGAGGGGGAGGGGGAGGAGGAGGAGGAGGAGGAGGAGGAGGAGGAGGGAGGAGGAGAGGAGGCGGAGGAGGAGGAGGAGGAGGAGGAGGTGGAGGATGGGGAGGAGGGGGAGGGGGAGGGGGAGGGGGAGGGGGGGGAGCGGGGGAGGGGTGAGGGGAGGAGGAGGAGGGGGAGGAGGAGGAGGAGGAGGAGGAGAGGAGGAGGAGGAGGAGGAGGAGGAGGGAGGAGGTGGAGGAGGAAGAAGGAGAAGAGGAAGAAGAAGAAAAAGAAGAGGAGGAGGAGGAGGAGGAGGAGGAAGAGGAGGGGGGGCCTGCCCTGCTACCTTCTCGGTGTTCAGACGCCAGCGGCCCTTCGCCAGGCCCAGCGCCTGTCGGGCGCGCTCGACGCCCTGGAGGCCCTCTTCGTGCGGCTCGCGGCGGGCACCGCCGATGCCGCCAGGGGCGACGGCGCACCCGCGCCGGCGGACAGCCGGGCGGCTGCCTTGCAGGAGCGGCCCGGTCTCCCTGCCCGCCTCCCCGTCCCCCTTCCTCCTCGCCCCCCTCCCCGTCCTGCGTCTTGCTTCCTTCTCATCCTTGCCCGCCTCCCCGCGCCTCCTCCTCCTCCTCCTCCTCCTCCTCCTCCTCCTCTTCCTCCTTCTCCTCCTCCTCTTTCTCCTCCTCCTGCTTCCCTCGCAGGAGCGGTCCGCCCCGGCCATGCGGGCGCGGCCGCGCCAGGTTGGCCTGCTCCTTCTCCTGTCCGGGCCGCTTGGCCGATGGTGTTTCCATGTTCTTTGGTGGTCGGCCGATTCCGCAGCCCGTCCCCGCTCCATGTCCGCAGGCCATTCTCGGTGACCGAGTGTGGCGGTCGAGTCATCCAGCCGTCGTAGGCGACGAACCCGCGCGCCTCAGCGTACTGACCCTCCTCATTCTTCTCCTCCTCCTCCCCCTCCCCCTCCTGCTCCTCCTCCTCCTCCTCCTCCTCCTCCTCCTCCTCCTCCTCCTCCTCCTCCTCCTCCTCCTCCTCCTCCTCCCCCCCGACATTCCTTTTTCCTCCTTGCTCCCCACTCAGGGAAAGATGTCGCCGCGTGCGGGCGCCTTGGTCTTCCCTCTCCGGCGGTCCCGCTGGCGGCCGACCGTCCTCCCAGCGGCAGCCGTCGGCGCGGGCGTTTTCTGCGCACCTGAGTGCCTGTCTCAAGGCCTGCCGTTGACCAGGGTGGGCAGGGTCGCATCGGTGAGTGTCTTGTCTCGTCTTGCCTGTGAGTGCATTGAATTGTCTTGTCTCTCGGACACGCGCAGAGGGGGTATGGGGGAGGGGGAAGTATTCTCAGAAGCACCCCTGCTTCTTGCAAGGCGCGGGCCTTCTCTATAGATGGATGACCGGCGCCTTCTAAGAAGCAGCCGCCTTCTAAGAAGCCTCCCCCTCCCCCTAAGCGACCAAGCCTTCTCATCATCGTCTTTCTCCCCGTGCCCCTCCTCAACCGCGTGGCCCTCGACGACTGTGCCGAGGAGGCGCGGAGAGGGCAGGCAGCCGATGGAGATACTGGGCGCTGCGCGTAGCCCCGCCAGCGCATCCAGAAACGATGCCCAGGCGAGTTGCCCCGATCAGGGATGTGCAGGAGCATGCAGTGGAACAGAGGGCTCAGGGGAACCGACATACCTTAATTCGGAGGGGGGGGGATAGAGGAGGAATTGGAGGAGGGGGACGGGGAGGAAGGAGGAGGGAGGAGGAGGAACAGGTGGATAAGGAAGAGGATGAGGAGGACGAGCACGAGGATGAGGACGAAAAGGAGGAGGAGGAGGAAGAAGAGGAGAAGAGCAAGAGGATGATGTGGAAGAGCACAATGGCCAGAGGCATCTTGGATGCATCTCGGGGTCTCTTCGGATGTCTCTTGAGAGCTCGAGGTCCTCTTGGGACGTCTTGGGGGGCCCCTAGCGATCCCGGGAACATCTTAAAGCGTCTTGGGTGCTTTGAGGGAATCTCTTGGGGCCTCTTGAGGCCTCTTGGG